GTAGACCTGGTTGATATATACATGTATTTATTTAAATGTTTAAAAATTTCCTGAGGAATTAAAATAGTTTCAGAAAGACTAATACAGAACGAAATACTAGCATATCTTAAACAAAAACACTACTGCTACAATATGCTGAAATGCATCATTACTGAAATGCGATTTTGCAAAATAGCAAGCTAAAAATAGAACACCTATAAAAATTGAATTTCTGTCAGTGGTTTGAAAATCAAACGTAACATGATCCACAGTCCCTATATCCCTGGTCTGGAAACGACTATTGTCTATGGTGTCAGTTACCCCAAGTGCTCGAACAGCCCGGGTATGGCTTACTGCGTTCGCAGCATAGTATCTTGATAGCAGAGCATTTCATTGAAACAATCAATTTGTTTCCTGCATATTCTAGTTTTTACAACTGAAAAAGACCATATATTTTGATGCTTTATATAGATTTAGAAGCTCAACACAATTCCTTAGCCGACAATTCTTTCCATAGTGGCATATTGACATTATTACTTGTGAATATCGGACTCAAATTTGATGTACTCAGGAATCACAACTTGAAACATCTGTTCATTCGTCATGTGTTTTAGAAAGATCAATGTTTTTTTAATTTATTGGATAGCTTAAACCTAGTTGTAGTTTTACTTGTTTTATTATATTATATACAGTACACATATCATATTTAGGCATTCACTTTTTTCGTTCAAAATAAAGATGGCTTCTTGCCGATTCATTGCCATTGAAATTTTCGTGTAATTATTTTTGTTTTCAAACAGATATTTGGAATGTAGTTAACAATGCTGGTGACATCATGTTTCTTAAGATTAACATCCTGCAGTATCAATTCTTTAGCACCGCCAAGAATTAAGAATTGAGAATTTATTTACGGGCGCCATTTTGTTTTTGCTTTACTGAACTTAAATTACTTGATGCTTTGTCAGTGGGTTGGCCCCTTTTATATTAAGAAAACAGCATTCAACCATAATATTTGTTTTTCATGTGAATTATGTACTTTGACATGCACTTTTCAGCGATGTGGCTAGTTTTTCTCTCGTATTTTGATAAATCATGGTATTATGTTCTGTTCTGTTAGCAGTTTATGATTGCAATGCTTAAGTTAGTGTACGCTCAGCTTCCTGGCTAATTGTCCAAGGTGTGAACGTTTTATTTTCCCGCAAGCAGCCCTGGCACAATAGAATGCCAAGCATTTCCAGACCGGGGATAGATGGACTGTGTTTGATCATATACAACATGTATGCTATGCCATTAAGAGGTGTCACCATCTCGAGTTGTCTTTATATAAATTTGGCCATTGCAATATTCATTGCAGTGTTTCTTTTGCTCATTATTATAAATTTGTTTGCTTCCATTAAAGTTGTGAAATTGTTTGGTTTTTGGCTTTTATATAATTTGTTTTCTGTGATAAAATGCTACCGGTACTGTGTTCCACTATATTCTTTTAGCAATAATTGCAAAGTATTATTTCTACTGGTAATTTCAGTTTATTATGCCTCTCGATTTTCAGGTCATGGTTACATAGAGATTGACTCACGAAATATTTATTAGGATTGTTAAATAATTTTCTATTCTTTTAAAGGGGAACCGCTCAAATCCATGGATTGCACCACATGCTCATGGGTAATTAACTCCGCCTCTTTCCACTAAGTAAATGAATGCTTATTATGCTCGCTTACTCAAACTGTGATTGACAGGCATTTTGCATACATCAGTCGCCATTTTAAAATCATGATTTGTACTTGTCGCGGCACGTTTCGACCAAAAACAACAACTTTCATACATAAAAAGCCCAACCAGATGAGTGTAATCGCTAGCGTACATATTCATGCCCCCGTAGAAATGTATTTGGATTCAAAGCTTGATCTCTAAACATCGTAAATGGCTCCCGCCACAATGTGAGCGACTTGGTTCGGATTAGCATACTAATTGCAGGGGCTATCTTGCCCCTATTTATAATATCGGTTCCCCTTTAAATTCTCTGCATCAATTCCCCTGTTCCATTAAAGGATGTATGATTTTTCTAATTTTTCTTTCAATTGTCTGTTTATTTTTCATCATTATTATATATGTACGATTAATTTTGGTTCATTAATCTAGTTGGGAAGTTATTACGCAATACCAATACCAACTATTTTGTTGTCTATTCATTAACACTGCTTCCATCATAAGTTCGTTTGATGTGTTCATAACATCGATTGTAGTATTTAATTATAATTTCCTAAAAGTGAACCAGTTCTCCATATATTCCCATTATATGAATGTTTTTCCTACACCTCAGATGCATCTTAAAATTGCAATTCAACATCTTTTATGTGTCAGATTTGTTGAACTCCCTTCTCCCCAAATATCACTGACCCATACTAATACTATAATAATCAAAGACAGACAACATTGCATTTAAATGATTTATATTATAACAACTTCACTAAATCTTAAATCCTAGTCACTCATGCATCAAATAGTGGTTTCCGATTTTGGAAATGTGTTTTTCTCTGTAAATTTTTCATAATGTTCAGAATGTGTTGACAGTTATATACCCATATTTTGTTATGAATCCTTGACATGTGAGAGATTCCTCAATGACAGTGTGTTTTGTACATGTGTAAACAAATATTAATTTTTTATTCTAGAGATATTTGAATTGGTAAATTTTTCAACTCTACATGGTTTACTTCATACTGAAGATTTCTATCAATAATGGCTCCTGTAATGGTACTGTATTGAAATCATGTTTAATAATTTACTCTTCCAGAAATTTTCACGATTTAAGGATTTTATAGCATTCCTGAAGATACAAATGTAAAATCACTGACACTCTGTGTTGAACACAGATTTTTTTTAGTATGATTATGAATTTAATTTATAATCAGTGTATAAAAGTTAGATAAGGTTTAATGTACTATGAAAATAACTATGTTGAAATTTACTTTGAAATTCTGAAAATCTCTACTACATTCTTAAGGTAGTTTACAGTAATTTCATGAGTTCCTATATATTGCAATTATTTTATTACATGTAGTACCCTTGCACAGGTGTATATGTGGTCAGAATTAGTCATCTATTGGTGAGGCATTAATGATAAATATATGATACATAATATTTTCTTAGTGAGTTTCTCAGTAAAATTGGAAATTCCGAGAAACAGTTCATTTTATATACATGTATATAAAATCACTTGATTCAAGGTCATTTTCAAGGTGAAATCACATCATTTCTCAGGGATTATTCTGCTAAGGGAGAACACTAAATACATGTATCTCAAAATTCGTTTTACTGATTTAATCCAATAAATTCTTGTTTTTGTGCAATCCAAACAAGAATTTGCTGATGAATTCTTACTTAATTTAAACTAGTATGAAATCCATGTTGAAGATTCATAGCTTGCGTCCTCTCACTATACAATATCACCAATTATCCATGTTTCCTCTTTGAAGTCACAACATGAAGATGCATCAGGGATCTGCCCACACTGGTCGGCGACGGTCGCTAGCGACCGGCACTCAGAATTTCCGACCAGGACAACAAGTTGACGACCGGCACTATTCTATTTGTTCATGATACACACAGGATGTCGGCCACTGGACCATCATTCTATTGTTCTTGTTTATTAAACACAAAATACAATGAAAACAATTAACACACAACAAAACTTGAAAGAAGACACCGCTGTTCAAAATCAACGTACACGTGTGACATCTGCCTAATGTGTTTTTGTTTTAACCTTCTGCGATTGACATTCTGTTTTAACAAACGAACCAGATCGGAATAAGTCGTACATCAAGATAATGGACGGGAAGACAATGGTAAATAAACAGAAGGAAGGATTACCATTGCAAGTTTAGTTGTTTGTAGGATTTGTCGAGTTTAACAATAACTTGCTCACTTAACCGGCAGCGATGCGTCAAGCTGTCGTTCGTTTAATCTGCACTTGCACTCGAGTGTAGTAACCTTCATTGATGTTTCTGGCTCCATGACTCGTTCATAAAATTCATAAGCTATATTCAGTCAGCGATACAGAAATAATTATTTCTCACTATTAATGTGATTTACCAGCAATTTCATTGGAAAAGAAAACAATTAAATTCTTGTTTCCACTTTGGCTGTAACAAAGGGACGACACGCTTTGAAAAAAAATGGCTGCCAGGTCAGAGGTAAATGTCTCAAAATACGTATTTTAGACGTGATTGTGAAAATAAAGTATTTATATTTTTTCACTTTATCAAATCAGATTAATTTTACATTAAAATATTTAAAATAAAAGTTAAAATAATTAAAGTAGTTAAATCGTAGCGAGTAGATATTAATTAGCTCATGAATATTAATGACCTCATGAATATTAATTAGCGACCAGCACTCGAATCTGGCTGGGCAGAACCCTGATGCATATTACTTTTTTCATTGGGACAATAATAATCTTTAATCACTTAATATTCATTGAAATGAATGAAAATCAATACATGACAAAAAATGAGAATAAAAAAAATATTTAAGAAAAATAACTAGGAACTACAAGTGAAATACTTTAATTTAAATGATGAATTAAACTATTAAAATTATACATTATTATTATACACCTGTGACTGTAATGCCATAACTTATAGCGTGCCGTAATTTTTCTGTATTTCATGGGGTATTTTCATCCTACCATATTAGGAAATGCGAATTCCAAATACGGAATGATTATGCGTGTAAGCGTCTTCTAATAATAAAAATAAACATGGCTGCCCCGCACAAAGAAGTACGCTGATTCTGTTCTAACTTTCTTTAAACAATTTGGATTTCGGCATTTCTATGATGTGTCCTTGGAAGGAAAAGATGTATAATAATGTTATTACGAGGATACCTCAAAGTATACACTCAGACAGTACACTGTCTCATCGACCTTCGCTGCGCATCGGTCGATACTCTTTGTGCATACTTTGAGGTATCCTCGTAATAATCTCATTTTATTAGTCAACCAGTTATGTGATAGAGTTAGGATGGTGTGGCTTCAAATTAAGAAAGAGGTACTGCCATTTTTTGGCAACTTAATAAGAAAATAAACTTTTCATTTTTTTTTTGGACAGCCAAAAGAAATGCATATACACTTTTGTATGTAAAGCTGCCAAATTTTTCTTAGATTTATTTTGTGAATGATATTTAATTTGTTTCATGTAAACCATACTATATTGTTTGTTTGCAGCAACACATTTCAATAGTGAATAACCTGAAGGATTTGACTGAAAACCTTTCTAAAGGAATGAAAGTTGAATGTCCGTTGTGCCCAGTTACAAAGTTTAAATGTAATAATACTGCTAAGGTCAAGAAACATTTGAAGACTCACGAAAAATCAGGAATCAAACGAGAAGGTTTGTATAGATGCTTTTATGATTCCTATGTGCAAAGAACATAGTGGGATCGAGTCTTGGTGGTTACCCTGTCTGTATGTCTGTTCCTCCAGTATCTCAAGAACCTTTGTTCCAATTTTGATGAACCTTGGTATGTAGATATTCTGGGATAATGTGCAGACCTGGTTATTGACTTGCATATACAGTTTTTTTGGTGTTTTTTCCTCGATAAAAAAAAAATTGTATACATATCTAGTGTATAAATGGGTAAAGTAGGGTTATCATGAAAGCCCAGTATACCAAAACACAAACATAAGATGTGACCTTTGTAGATGCCCTCTTGCGACACCAGTGATGATTGTCACTGATCTGGTTTCAGTACATGATGCAATGATTGACAGGCTCAATAATATTCCACCCATCAGTTTTATGATCAAAATTGAAATCAAATTTTCATAAACAAACATGTGTCTTAATAAAAAACCATTCCAAAATTTCACACACATGCATTTCACAATATTTTTTGAAGTTTTTTGTTTTAATGGCATTGCAAGACAGCATTGAAAATGAAATAAAGATACTAGGCTGTACATCACTTCAGGAAAATAAATGAGAGGTCGTTGATGCATACACTTCTGATCACGATGTCTTTGACTCCCGTGTGCGAAGCACAAAAAGGGAGTCTTTGCAATTAGTGTGTCTGTCTGTCTGTGTGTGTGTGTGTGTGTGTGTGTGTGTGTGTGTCTGTCTGTCTGTCTGTCTGTCTGTCTGTCTGTCTGTCTGTGTGTGTGTGTGTGTGTGTGTGTCTGTTCCATCGATATCTCCAGAACCAATTTTCGGATTTCAATGAAACTTGGTATATAGCTTGTCTGGGGCAATGTGCAGATTTGATTAGTTTTTGGTTGACATCCATGCATATTAATGAGCTCATCTGCATAATAATGTATGAATTTTACACTATTTCTGTTATATCTCAAGAAGCATTAAAACGATTTTCATGTAACTTGGTAAGAATGTTACTAATGATTGGCAGCTGCAATTCATTGTTGTATTTTACATTTTAATTAAAATTTAGCATTTTTTATGTATTTTTGTATTATTATTTTTTTTTAATTTTTCTGCCCAATTGCATGAATACAACTAATAGGAATCGGTGAGTGGACTAATTTGCATAATGATGCGCATGCGTATTCTATTTTTTATGACCAGCAATTTATGATGGTGTCAGCCATTTTGTTATTTCCAGTGTGTTGTACAAAAACGAAGCAAGCGCTCGGGAGAGGAAATGTATCAGTTTACATTATGAAAGGTCTAAGAAATTACATGTATGATTTTTA